AATGGCAACATTATATAGGAATACAAGTTATTAATATTATCAGGTACTTTGCCTGGTTTCTTTAGACATGTTAAGAACTCATTGTTTGCAAATGACAAATTGCTTCAAATGAATAGTCCAAGATAGCCTTAGGATTCCAAAGTACATAGAAGTTCATATTGTGAGTCATTAATAGCATTTTTAAATATAAATAAGGCTGCTTAGAAAGGAGGGAATGTATCAAATATTAAGAAAAAAGGAGAGCTATAAAAGCTATTCTTATTACATGTATAGAATTCCTGGCTTTGGTCTGCCAACCCTGGCTGTTACAGCCATTTGGGGAGTAAACCAGTGGATGGAAGCTCACTCTCACTCACTCTCTCAGCCTTTCAAATAAATAAATAAGCTGTCAAAAAAAATCCCTATGGCATCTATTGCTACCAGCACTGACATATTAACTTTTTTTACCCTTCGTCTATGGTGATGTCAATACATTCCTGATAGAATGACAGTAGAAAGGGCATCACTCGAGGTCAACATCTGAGCTTCTGTAACAATGCTTCAGAGGCAACAAGAGCTGCCCACATGAATGAAATTTCTCTTGTGGCAAAAATTGTCTAATACTTTACCCTCTGGCATTTTTCCTTTTGAGAAATCTCAAGTGAAATATAAAGCAGTAGGATAGGGACAGTGGAGTTTCTCCAACAACGCTTTTTTAAATTTCTGATTGACAAGTTTCAAAGAATTTGGACAGGTGAGGATCTAATATAGAAAGCTAAACTCATCATACATACTTTCTTCCAGTATTAGAAAGAAAGAAATATTTAATGAAAGAAATTTCTTACAAGCTTTGTAGTGGGCCTCCCAAGATGTCCGGGTCTGTACCCTCAGAACTTCTGCTTCTTACCTTATATGGCAAAAGAGACTCTGCAGGTGTAATCAGGGTAAAGATTCTGACAAGAAGGTACCCAGGTCAGGTCAGAGTCACAGTGGTCCTTATAACAAGGAGCACATAAGAAACAACAGGTGAAGTCAGGACTAAAGCAGAGGTTGGAGTGACACATTCTCGAAATGGAGGAAGGGGCCACAAGCCAAGGAATACAGGCAGTCGCCAGAAACTGGAAAAGACAAAGGAGTGAATACTCTCCTGAAACTACAGAAGGCACGAACCCTGTTCAAAGCTTAACTTTTGCTCATTGAAACTGACTGTGGACTTTGGACCTCCAGAACTATAAGAGAGCCCATTTGTGTTGTTTAAGCCACCAAATTTGTGATAAATTGCTAGCACAGCAATAGAAAATTAAAACAAGCCCATCTTCTCAATGTAATTGCTATTAAGAGTGTTTTTTCAAAATGAGAACTTATAAATATTTACAGTAATTACTTTGGATTGCCATTTACCAGACTATTGAAGAGTTAAAGGAAAATTTTTTTAAAGCTAAGTGATACTTACCATTTTATTTTAAAAGAACATTAAGGGAGTATACTTAATATACTCTTTTATTCTACCAGCTCAATCAGTGTCACTTACAAATTGGCGTGTTTCTATCACTTTGAATCGGAAATTTTAAAATCATTGATTGAGCCCTATAAGTACATCACTTCAGTGCTGAGTGGTGACAGGTATAGAGACGATGACAACTGTAATGCCACTGTGATTTTCCTTTTTGTTTAGCACTGTGCTGTAACTCAGATCCTATCACTATTGCTCAAAATGAGAAAATGTATATTGAGCAGTCCAGATCATAATTTAGTTTTTATATCCTTTGTAAAGGTACTAAAAACCCAAACTCTCAAGAAGAACCCCAAGAGGTTAATTACACAAGTCATGGAATTTTTGCTCTGTTTTCTTAAATATTGAGAATTTATTGAAGATTTTACACTTGAACATATTATTTAAAATATAATCTTCCTTTCTGTGTGACAGTCTCACAAAGTATTTAAAGAAGATGAAGGTCTGTCATTACTCTGTTTAATTACAGAATTTTAGAATCAGATGATGATTTTTAAAAAGAACTAAAAAAACTCCTTTAGAGTGATAGTAATAATAGTTTCACTTCACACCAGAATCTCAACTAGTACAAGTTCTATTTATAGGTGTCATTTGCTAGAACTAGTCAATCTTGTTTTATATCTTCTTCCCCCCATTACTTGTATCAGATGGAGGAGTACATAAGCATGCCCAGAGGTTTAGATCTGCTTCTAATTCAGCACACGCTGTAACAATTTCCTTTCTCCATCACCTATGGCTTTGGAAGCACTGCTTTCCTTGGTTTTGCATCTAAATTGTCTCGAATCACTTTGCCTTTTAATTCATGAAGGCAATGGCTGTTTTTTTTTAATAATCTGCATTCTCAATTCTTACCCAGTGTTTCTAACAAATTTAATTCTACTTAAATGTGTATTTTAATAAGTTTAAGAAATTATCTTGGATCACAACTTTTAATCAATGTTTAGAACCTTACAAATGTAATTCATTTAAGAACAAATAACTTTAGAGTAATTACAAGATAATGTTTAGGGTCCACTTTCAAAAATTCTGAATTCTAGCTTTAACAATGCCCTATGTTAAGATGATGGTAGCTTTGTGAAAGGTTAGCAATTCCAACATCCAATGTATTCTGGGCTGTGTTTCAATTATTCAATAAAATATTTTCCATTGACTATTTGCTATGGGAAACACAAGCATACATACATAAATATCAAAACTTCCCATGTGACCATATTAATAAAAATGTTGTCAGAGCTGGAAAGAACTCCGGATATCTTCAGTCCACCTCCAGTCTACAGTTCAGCAGCTGATGTGTTCACGATCACCAAGCTGGCTGGTGGCTGGGTCTGTGGTCTAGGACCTCCTCATCTGGCTTGTTCTCTAAGACACTTTGTAGCACACCACACTGAGTCAATCTCTGTCTCTCCCTTGATGTAGTTACTATAAAACAAGGTGACTGACCACATTGTTATATCAATCTACATGTTACATCGGGTACTTTCTTAACAGCGTTTTCCTTTGACAGAAGAGCACAAAAATAATGTACATTTTAAAAGCTGCATAGGGCCTGATACATTATGGGTGCTCAAAGTTTTTTTTTTTTTTCTTTTATCCAACTAACTAAATTACATCCTAGTAAGTGTAGAAGCATTCTAAATTAAAGTGTTCTCAGAACTATGTCATAGAAATTTACTAAGTGTTAATATTAATCTAACCCTGGAACCAGAATATGTGGTTCCACAGTCTTCCTTTCCTATAAATAGACAACATTCTCTAGCCTCACCTGTTCCTCATATTAACTATGGAACAGATGCCAGAGTTCATCTACATTTCAAGTTATGTATCTCCTTTCATACTAAAATATAAAATATATATAATGTGTAGATTTCTCTCCTATGCATACCCATCCACCAGAATTTTCCAGTAGTAAGAAAACACTAAAAAACTTCAGAAAGTGATGTGATGCTGTACAAAATCCAGTGAAAGTTAGCCAAAATACAACATATGCATGGGGGAAGACGTTGAATGTTTGTATTTATGACCTAATTATATTTTTCTTCCTTAAATTTCAAAAGTAATGTATGTAATGTGATTAATCAAAAGTACCTTTCACATCTAGTCAGTCACAATTCTGTTTATATCTTAAAATGAATAAAAAATACATCTCTGAGCATAATGATCACTAATATTTAAATGATAAAGGCACAGATACATTCAGATCTTATATCCGGTAAGAACTTATTATAAAACAGAGAGAATAATTTACTATTCAAATAGTTGGAATAAAGTTCAAGGGAAATATAAGCAAATCACTTCTTTCTCTAACAACCTGAAATATAGGGTTTCAGACCTTATATATTTTTGTCAAAATAGTAATTATAGATGACAGATGCTGCTCCCTAGTGAATGGAAGGTCTCAAATTTTACTGTGCATATCATTGGGAAGGAAATACAAATTTTTAAAATAGAATTAGCTTGGGGAAAGGCATCATTGCTGCAACTCTTAGCACCAAATGTTTTTTCTTGGAGCACCAAATGCTTTAAGGAAAACATTCCAAGTATCAAAGTTTTCAGATAGATAAATATTTATGGATCAAATCCATAAAGAACAGACATTGTTATGAAATATATATAGATGCCTTCAAAACTTTCTTTCTAGGCAGAGTAGGCACATAAGTTAGGAGTCATTTCCCACTTAATTGTTTTTGCAACCTTATGCAACACAAATGGATTATGGATAAGACTTCTTCCTTTATACAGAGAAAAATCTTGACTGACATCATGTCCAGGAAGTTAAACGGGAGCTATTTCTTTAAATGAAATTTATAGAAGAGGCTTTATTCTAACCTGTGATACTGACTGCAAATGTAGAGCTATTTTAAATGTAGTCGTTTGGTAAGGAAACTACTCCTTAAAATGTGTTCTTCTCATTCGCTAGTTAGAATAGTCAGAAGAAAGCTTATCACACAACTGGTTTGTATCTTTAAGGGCAATGAAATTGCATCTGTCTCTGAACTTTATGAATGGTATTTTCCAAGCCTACATATAGACCAATGACTCTCCTTCTCCAATGAGAGATCTTCATGGCATTTGGGTCACAATCTCCTAAAAACTAATCACTTAAAGCAGAGAAGTTCAGCAACATGGAAATACGCTATAGGATACTACGGAGAGTTTAAGCAGCTAATAATAAATGTAACTTAAACTTTTATACTTAATTCTCTTAATGCTTTTAAAATACCATCCATTGGAGTACACCGATCAGAAATGAAGTATCCACTTGAGAAAGTAGCAACAAAGTCTTGTTCCAAATGCAAACGCAGAACAAAGAGCTATGAGAACTCACTGCAAAAAGGGTTGGGTGTACTGTATTAGGCTTCAACATTACACTTGCATGTACAAATACTACCAATAGAGGGGCATCTTGGAAATAAACACATTTTTTCCCCTGAAACTAACCAGGACAATGCTATATTCAATCAAAGAAGACATGAGCTTCATGAGTGCTTAAAGGAAACGGTAACACAGACACAGATTAAAAATTTTATTTATGAATATGTGGACACATGACTTTGGATCCAGCCAGCCAGTGACATAAATAAATTTGAGCAAAAGATTCAAGCTAGAGGATACAAATATATACATACATACATACATACATATATTTGTGTGTGTGCATAGGCTTCTTGGAGCAGTGCCACAAACCTGGACACCAAACCAACAATCACTCCCATCCATTGAAATTTCCATTAAGTGCACAATGGGGGTAATTACACCAGGATGCTCCAAATCGCTCTTTCCATCTTGTGCACTCACATGCCCGCCAAACATGAAATGTTCGCCTTCTCCCTTCCAACGTGATGGTTGTTGAACTTATTTTTAGTGTCATTTGATAAGCCTTTGTGCTCGCAGAGAGACATCCCACTGACCCGGCCACTGGTCATTGTCTATACCAGTTCACATCAAAGCAGGCGCACTTTGTCAGGTTTCGAGTCGAATATCCATTTCGCATCTGAAGTACAGTATCGAAAGTGACTAGATCATTTGAGCTTTTTTCTTCAGCTGCTGCCTTCTTCCGCCCCCACAGTGTTTTTGCTCACGCTAACATAACTTGGCATCGCCGACGTGACACGATGGTGGTTTTTCTAAAACATTAGAATACATACATCGCCAATGGTATGTGATGGCGACCCTGCTGAAACTGTAATTTACGGATTGAAGAAAGGGGCCCTTTTCTCTCTACTGAATCGTAACCAAGGTAGAGTGTTCCTCAACATCCAAGTAATGCGCATACAGTAATAGGTCATTCAATGTCAAAAGGCATAAAAAAGATGAGCAAAATCTTCACAGGCTGCTGCTTGCTGTTGCCTTTAATTATATTAATTAAACTTTGAAATTTTCATGCAAAGAGAGTTGCTGGCTTGTGACGCTGAAGAGCCCTTGGAGACCTGAAGGAAGAAAAAACCCTGAGCGGAAGCTTTGTGGTTACTGCTTCCTTTAAATTAAAAGCCAAACAAACTCCTAGGTATGTTTACAGATACTAATGCTTTATGCACTACTAAATCCAAAACACAGGAAAAGGGGGAATCTACCAGTCACAGGCACAAGTGCTCAAACCACGAGTCCCTTAGTCTCCATTTCAGATCTCTGGTTAGAGACTGTCTTCCTGTGGAATAACGCTCTATTAATTTTCTTGTCCCCAGTGCATAATGAAAGAAAGGTGTCTTCAGAAACAAAAGGGCAAAATCTTGCTTGCTACCAATACCTTGAGGCATTGTGTCTACATTTTGTCATGCGTGTGCACTTTTCAGTGTTAGAGTGACAAGATTTTCCAGTCAGAAACTTCCCGTAAGGCACACTGTGATAGGGGACTCGGAAGGAGTTCGTGATCTGACATAGCTATAAGGCAGTGGACTCCATAATTTGCTGAGCCTGGTTGGAAATTTCATCCTCTGCCTCTGGCTAAAGCTCTTGCAGTATACAGACACAAGTGCCGTGTAAAAAACTCCTGTCTCCATTAACGACCCACCATGGCTACTTGCTCGGTGCTCCTGGCTTTGATGTCCTCTCTGTGTTGCCATTGCCGTTGTTGCTTTGGCTTCTTCTACACATACAAACTTCCTTGCATAATGTCCCTCTTTACTTTCAAGGTCACGAATCACAAGATACAACTGGGTTTCATCACCTCCTTTGTAGACGGCAAAACAAGTGTTTGAAAATGTTCAGTGCAAGCAAAGCAGAAGGCAGAGAAAACACGTCTTGACTGGAAGAAATTAAGGTGCTCTTCCAAAAGCCTCTGAAATGCACTTGATTTGTTTCATTTGGCTGGAAATCAGCAGTGTGGACGTGTGCTGTCTTCGTACCCTCTAGGTCGTCATTTCCCTTTTACTGAGATGGAACTCGAGAAAAGTTTATGCACCGGCCCTGCGGAAAGAAAGAGCCATATTGAAATAGTACAGCAATCGTGAATGAAAAAGCCTCAGCATACCCAGTGCTCCTATGATCTGATTACCCACTGTCCTTTTCCTGGACAATGTTCTGATAAGACATGAAATTATACTGCTTTTTCCCCTCTTTGGGTTAAAGCGTGGTGGTCCATTCAGATCTTTTCCACAATAAACTGACCTATGTGACAGTACGGTAGGAAATAGTATAGAAATAGAACTTTGTTACTACCACTGAAGCCACGGCACTAGTATCACAGCGATAAGAATACCAAAGCCATAACCTTCCATACTTATTTCTGTAACGCATTAAAATGAAGATATGTGCTTACACAAGCTGCTGCCTTAAAAACATGTCTACAAGTACATTCAAGAGATAACAAGACCAAAGATAAGGAATTAGGAGACAAGGAAGAGATGCCATCTCTTTGTGATTCTATTTCATGAAAGGATTTCGCCAGAGACTTGAACACACCCACTCTTTTTGACCATTCTGCGCAATTGTAACCACCAAGATGTTTTCTAAGTAGTGTCTACTTTTTGGCATTGCACATTTCCAAAGAGATTTACCATTCCAATATCTTAATATTTCAATGCAACTTGTGTGGACACATTGGTCTAAACATAGTTTAAATAATGCAAAACCTACTGGAGAACAAAGTTTCCAATTAGTGGTATGATACTCTTTGGTATAATATTTTCCTTGGTTTGCTACTATTTATCTTTTTCTACATAAATCACATGCAGATTCCTCAACTGGCAAAAAATTAGCATTTCACCTTCTACTTTAGGGTCAGGTTGACCATCCTAATTGAGGTTTTTCTATTTCTTACATCTTCTCTCAAAGTATTGCAGACTTTAAAGCTTATCTTTTTCCCCCTCTAACTGTGAAGAGCAAGTTTATTTTCAATATCACAACATGGTAAAATTCGAAAGGAACAATAAATATTGCTGAAGAAGAAAGCTTGAAACATAAAAGCAGAATTGCTTGTCTATTTTCCTTTCAAAAATGATTGCTCAATACATTTGGGAATTTCAGAAATTAATGAAGAAACAAAAATATAAAAGTGAAATAGATGTAAGACTTTCCATTAACTTTTGCATAAAAGCAAACATTCATCAAATTATCTGTCTTCTAAGTAAGTTTACAGGGAACATTACTACTATAATTGCCAATTTCATTACTTTGTGCCTAATGTCTACAAAAAATATCAGTGCAAAGGGAAGTGGAAGAGAAGCAGAGAAGTCACACCAGAATGAGGTCGAATGTGCATGGTAACGCACATGATCGCTGGTCATGGACTCTGGTATTATCAAGAACTTTGAAGTAAGATTTTTAGAATGACAAATATCCTGTGTTTTCTCTTATGTGTGGAAGTTAATACAGAGAGAGTATAAAAATTGTGTGATTCATGTCATTTGGTATATGGTTATAAATATTCCTTTACTGAATCATGCCACATACATGACAATATACCTTGTTACAATCATTAACATATACTATCTTATTATCATGAATTCCTCTCTTTGTGATATTAATGTATTTTTAAGAAAAACTAGTAAATATGTGTATGTATATAGTATCTATATATGAAGTGATTATGGCAAAAAAGTTACATTTTAAAGCTAAAAAAGAAAACAATTTAAAAATTAAAAAAAGATTTTAGAATGAAGATTAAGTGAAGATTGTTCAGACTAGCTAAGGGAAGAGTATATCCTTCAAAGATAGGAAAACATTCAAACTGTTATTTCCACAACAAATCCCTTTTTGTGCACACTTTTCTTAAGGGAGGCATGTGGGGAAAGTGACATCACGTAGGAGTATTTCAGCAAAATAATAAATCAATCCTAAAGAATAATAATGTATCTATATATGAATTATATGATAATAATGTAACTGTATATGAAGAAAGTTCAAGAAGTTCATAGAAAAATTGAATAAAAAGTTCATTTTCATGTAAAAATTTAAAATCCATGCAGTTTTTTTCATAATATGCATATTCATGAACTGTCTGCAGATCAACTATATGCATGACTCTCAAAAACTTTTGCACTAAACATATCTTCTAATTCTATTTTCCATGAACTTTTAGAAGTATCCTTTTCTGCAATAAAATATAGTTCTGAACAATGCACATTAAACAATGAGGAACATTAATAGCTATTACCTTATGGCAATTTTCCAGAATCAAACAAATATATGAGGAATACAGCATCTTTTGTGTATTTATAGAACAAAAGTAAAAGCTTTTTTTCTTCTAATTATGGGAAGAATCGATCATGAATCTGAGTTCTATCACTAATGAACTGGGTATAGAAATAATGGCCTTTCTTTGACTAATTCTATTCTACATACTGGAGTAGTCTTGGCCACTATAATTAGTTTACTTTAAGCAACTGGATAGTGTAACAAGTGGGATTTATAGCTTATTCAAATTCTAAAATCACTTCAATGGCTAAATTATTCCAGTCCTAAATTATTTCCTATTTCCTTTGATGTATTTTTATTAAAAACACAGAAATGTGAATGAAGAAAATCCTATGGGTTTTGACTTTGAGGTCCATGTTATAACTCTCCCAACGCTGCAATTAAGTATCATTATCAACTGCAACTGTCTATTGATTTAAGTACCAGAAAGGAAAAGAAAGACTATTAAAAAACAAATGCTCTCATATGTTTTAACACATACCCATATCCATTAACAGAAACCATCAAATGTTTTTTATCTTCTTGTGATCATGGACTTTTACCAATACCTGTTGAAGTCTAGATGTGATTTTTTTTTCCAGAAAAAATTTAAAACTTGACAACTTGCAGGAGAACTGCTTAGGAGTTATTGTTAAGCATTCCGCAGCTCTTCCAATCATTGACCCCTTCTCCTACAGAGACCATTGTATCTCCTCTAAAGCTACACCACATTAAATCTGGGAGGCAAATGTGATAGCTCAAATAATAAGGCTCCTGTCACCCAAGAAGGAAATCTGGATTGTGTTCCTGGCTCCTGGCTTTGGCCCTGGCCCAGTCTCAGACATTGTGGTCATCTAGAGAGTGAACCAGATGGGAGCATGTGCTTGCTCTCTCTCTCTCTTGCTTTCTCTCTCTCCCTCCCCCCCACCTCATATAAACAAAAAGTTGTTTAAAATCTCCACTAGTTGTGGATTCAGATCAAAATGCAAATAATGAATAATGATTAATCTGAAGAAGAGATTGCAAAGGACAGAAATGCTGTAGAGGGAACAGAGAGGAAAATATAAAGAAAGTGGATGAGGGTAGCCCTAGAGAGGAAAGAGCATCAAGAAAAAAAGCAACTTTGGACAAGCAAGGAATTTTTATTCAGTATTCCATTAGGCATCTTACTTCCAGGGAATTGTTTCATTTGGCAGCTATAATCCTCTACCCCAGAAAATTATAAATTCAAGGCAACACATCCTGGATGGAAGAGTCCATGACAAGGTAGCTGTGGCCCTTGTCATATGCCCAATACTGTCCTTCAAAACATATTAGTGATAATGTCAACTATGCTTACAAGCAGGGATGTTTGGATTACCACTGGCATCACAGCAAGAAGATTATTCTAGAACATTACAGAACAAATATTTTGCAAGAAATGGGACATGCTAAACTTGCAGTTCTGTTATAGCACACGCTTAAAATGCCTTCCACAAAAGAGATCTTATCAAGGTATCAAGCAAAGCAATATAAGATAGCTTGAAAACACAATTTATCAGAGAACAGTATGGCATATAAAGTATTATTGGTTAATATTATTTTTTCTGAGAATCTCTTACTTTTATGACAAATAATACAAGTGCTAAAAATTTTTTAAAAGTTACCTGAATGGTTTAATCAGAAACTATTCAACATAGGCCACATTTACAGACACATATAAAGGCAAAATAATGAGGGGGCCTGAGGAAGCTCACAGAAATGCCCATTATCTTTTGATTGCATTTCACCCGTGGATATTTTGAAGCTCCCTGAATTTACATAATTTTAACCTTTATTCTCTATATAGAAGTTAATACTAATTCAAGTGACAGGATTATAACCATTGTAAAAATGGTAGTAATATACTAAAATAGAGAAACACAAGATTTCTGCTAGTAAGAGTTAAGATGAGTGTATATTATGCTCACATTATAGTTCACAAAATAATTCAAGAAATTTGAACTCAGGTGGCTTAAATGTTGAAGGAATACTATAACATGTAATATTATTAATTATAATTATTAATATGAAGAAATAATTATAATTTTACCTATTTCCAAATATTTATTTTCATATTATTTCTCAATTTTCTTGATATAAAATTGGGCTCTATTCAGGCATCTAGATATGGAAAAGGCCAAGAATATTCTTAGGTTGTTTTCAGGAGCATTCATGCAATCAGGCAATCAATGCAACCAATTCAGTATCATGACTTACAATCGCTAAGTCATAAACCTTAACAGTAACACCATTTAGCAAATATAACATGGAATTAAATTAGTGTTTCAAGCCTATAATAATTTTAAAATTTTGGATAAATATATTTCATCATTTGCCTTGGGAATATAGTATTAGTTCGATGAAATGAAATCATTCTGAAACTTAATTCATTTAGCAAAATTATTAGAAGTAGAATTTCTTCAATGTTTAAAGAAAGAGTAGGCAGAAAGGACAGATTTTTAACACCTGACTTTAGATTACAGATCTAAATGAATACATTTAAAATATATTAATTCATAAATTGTGATGATTTAGATATTAATTGACTAGGTTATAGCTGATCTTCCTCAATATATTAAAAAACTGGGAAATTATAAACCAGAATATTATTGGCATAGTTCCCAACCTAAAATAAAATGTTTTATAGCACGTATGAAATGTATTTATGTGCTAATGACTGACATCCTTGTACTATGACCTAGGAATGGCAACATTTTCTTTGCCTGATAAAAATTGTGGCTTAAAAGTAACAAATTCGTTTGCTTTTAAAG